TCTTGCTTATTGAGGCTGGAATGACAGCTATCACCTTTATACATATTTCAATACTTGCTTTCATCCAATACCCAGAAATAATGTGAGGAGGCATAATCTACTATGACAGCTAAATATTCTGTCTTCTGAATGCCTCTTACTGAACAATATGTACCTCACTTACCTGACACCATATTAGCAGCAGTTTAACTCAGTTGTTTTTAATGGAATCACCATATTTATACAGTCTTAGTACCATCCCTTTACAGCCCCTGCAAAATGCATAGCGGCTTTCTTATTGACAGAGTGCAGTTCAGCTGGCCATGGTCTTTACTCTAAAAAGGATTTTCTCCTTGCAACACTTCTATCTTGGTCAGTGTCCTGCTTCTTTATCCATAGGGATCCAGTGCTGAATGACATGGTTTAGTGGTGATATTAGCAGGTTAATGGTTGGACTGGATGATCTTAAAGGTCCTTTCCAACCTAAAAGATTCTATGATTCTATGTCATTTTAGCCTCTTTGAGAATGACTTAACAGAAGCTGAATTCAACACGCAGGGAGGACAACTACTAGCAAACATTGCCACCCAACACAAAGGAAATACTTAACTCTATTGTGAATATCTAGAGAATGAAAAGCCCAAAAATATCAATGCAGAATGTGCAGTGCCAAACCGACACACTTCATGACACCGGCGACAATGTCAAAAATGCACTTTTAGTGAGATTACTTTTGCAGATAATTTTTAAAAACTTTTTTTTTTGGTAAGAATTAAAAGTGACTGTCCTAGGGCAACCAATGCTGAGTTCCTTGTTTCAATCTGAAGTGAGTAACAGTGATTTACCAATGCCAAATTTACATTTTTGAATCCAGATTGGTTCACATCAGAGTGCTTGAAAGCTGTTGACAGCACTTCAGTAGCCTTTCTTATGTAAGCTAGATCTTATTGAGATTAGGATTTTTCTTGGAAGGACATTTTGTACATAATTTCCACTCTTCCATCTTCATACATATTTTTATTTAGGAAACTGGCTACAGATTTGGTGAGTTCAGCTTAGAAACTAAACTGTGTTTCATTAAGTTATGAGGCAAAGGTAACTGAAAAAATCAGTGTTCTCTCACTCATTTTTTCTAATAAGTAAAACGAATATCTTTCCTGAAGAGTTTTCACTTATATTAGGTATGTAGGAGAGCATTCCCAAGTACTTTAGTCATAGGTTATATGGCTTGTTCATCATGCCATAGGAAAGCTGTTAACAATCCAGGTGTTCAGCAACATCCCCAATCTATTATTTTAAACATAAATTCATGGTGTCTGCGTATGTCTTAGCATGATGACTTCAGTTCTCTGCCTCTGATTACTCTGCTTTATCCCTCCAACAGGTTTTTAGCCAACACAACTTTTGATGGTCTCAGTGGCCACATTAAGGTGAAAGGCTCCTCCATTGTCAGCTCAGAAAACAACTTTTTCATCTGGAATCTGCAGCACGACCCTGTCGGGAACCCAATGTGGACTCGTCTGGGGAGCTGGCAAGAAGGAAAGATAATCATGGACTATGGAATATGGCCAGAACAGGCCCAGAGACATAAAAATTACATGCAACACCCCACCCGGTTGCACCTCAGAGTGGTCACTCTCATTGAGCACCCGTTTGTCTTCACAAGAGATGTAGACGACGAAGGTCTTTGCCCAGCAGGGCAGCTGTGCCTGGATCCGTTGACCAACGATTCCACCATGCTGGATAACCTGTTTGAAACCCTTCAAGGAGGGAATGACACCGTTCCCATTGAGCTGAAGAAGTGCTGCTATGGCTACTGCATTGACCTGCTGGAGAAGCTAGCTGAGGACATGAATTTTGATTTTGACTTGTACATTGTTGGTGATGGAAAATATGGAGCCTGGAAGAACGGCCACTGGACAGGGCTGGTGGGAGACCTTCTTGCTGGCACAGCTCACATGGCAGTGACGTCATTCAGCATTAACACTGCCCGCAGCCAAGTGATTGATTTCACCAGCCCCTTCTTTTCAACCAGCTTGGGCATCTTGGTCAGGACCAAAGATACCGCAGCTCCTATCGGAGCCTTTATGTGGCCACTTCACTGGACTATGTGGCTGGGGATATTTGTTGCTCTCCACATCACAGCTATATTCCTCACCTTATATGAGTGGAAAAGTCCTTTTGGGATGACCCCCAAGGGGAGGAATAGGAACAAAGTCTTCTCCTTCTCCTCTGCCCTGAATGTCTGCTACGCGATCCTCTTTGGAAGAACAGCTGCCATCAAACCCCCCAAGTGCTGGACTGGAAGGTTTTTAATGAATCTCTGGGCTATTTTCTGTCTGTTTTGTTTGTCCACATACACAGCCAACCTAGCTGCTGTCATGGTAGGAGAGAAGATCTATGAAGAGCTTTCTGGAATACACGACCCAAAGGTAAAGCATGTCTGATGCCATTAACTCAGCCTTTTTTTCTTCCTGGTCAGAATTCATTGATGTGTATTTTATGGTCTGTAACAAAACCAGAAAGCAATCTGTGTGCAAAACAGCAGTTGCAGTACAGTTAGTTACCCCCTGACGGCACTTCAGTAGGAAAGTTCAGTGAGAGAGCATCCTTAAACATCCCTAGAAATGCAGAGGGGTGGATTTCAAAGGCTGCAGGTGGGGAGAAGGGTGAAGGATTTTGGTGTTGCCCACTGCAGAGAAGAATAGTGGCTTCTACATGCAGATTAAGGGTTAGGTCTCAGTTCTTTAGTCCCTTTGGCTATAGTTGTTTTGATCAATTGGATGATTTGGGTCATCCTGGGTTCTACTCAAACAAAACAACCACACAACTTGAAGACAAACCCACTGATGTTCTAGGTAGGATTTTTCAAGTATAACACAGGCTAATGGCGCTTACAAAGGCGTTACTGGGAAAATTCCCCGCAAATGCTAAATCAAATGGTGCAGAACTGAAATATTTTGAAAAATCCTACCTTCTGCATCAAAACAGTGGCATTCACTTTACAAGTTGTCAGACATTTGATTTGCAGTGTTGTTTCTGCTGGGGGACTGTCATGGGAGGAGATGAATTATGTTGTAGACACCCCATCTGCAAAAAGCTCAGACTTCATAGTACTTTTCGGTAAGGCAAGGAAAAATGTAGAAGTGGAACTGCCTCCACCCACTCTCTCCTCCACTCCCAAGGGGGATGACGGGATCTGGAATTTCAGTCCAGTCATTTTATAAGACTGTTCAGATTGTGTTTGCTACTACGTAATGATCATAGAAACATGCGTGCAGAATGGTTGGTAGAGAGAATACCTGAGACAAGATCAGGCATCCTCTTCATCTGACAGTCACTGCAGAGAGGGAGGCAACAGCAAGTTTCCCGTGCGTGTCTGGCACTTTCTGCAGCGCAAGTGTGATGGTATTGTGCAGTTTCATACTTATGACCTAACCGCTAGTGCGTAGCTCTGAAACCATTCAGCACTGATTTGCCTCAAGTGACTGAACTGATACAATGCTGTGCCACTGGAAAAAGTTATTTTAAGAACTCAAGATCTGAACATTTACTTTGTTTTCATAAATTGTGTAAATAAAGGTTACATATGTCCCTCCAGACAGCAAAGGCCAAGCTCCATCTATTATGTTAGTAAAACCTTGCATACAGACTAATGACTCTACAGTTTTGACTTCATGAGTGTGACTTTTGATTCATTTCCTCCAATGTTGTTTAGATTGTTTCTACTAAGAATATTTTAAACAAAGAACAATAGTTTTTTGCTTGGCCTGAGGCACTCTAAAATTGATTTATGACTTAAAGCAAATTGCTACTAATAATCTGCCCTTCCCCGCCCGGAAAATATAAATACCACATCAATAATTTTACCAATTAAGGCTGCAAAAGGCCAGGAATCATGTAGCTGTTTATTCAAAGCATTCTGAAGAAGCAAATGAGAGCTTGTATTTGCATTTCCCGAGTTCCAGGCATCTCTCTGCTCCAGTCATTGTTGTGTGAGCCATAATATTGTCTGAAAATGAGCTCCGTTCTCTCCTCTTTGCATGGGCATTGCCTAATGCATCAAATTAAATCGCATCAGGTTAATTTTTCTGCGTCATTATTGTGACGACACATGGAGTTGCTAAGATAGGTATTGGAAATTTCTGCAAATGCAAGAAGATGAAATTATTTTGAGGCTGAGCTGTAAAGCGTGGCTGTTGAGTTACAAAATTGAGCACAGAGTATTGAAGTATATCAGGTGCTGCAAACACAGGTCTTAGTCCTGAAAAGAAACACTGATGACTCACGGTTAGTAATGTCAGAGATCCCCTTATATCAGCGGCATTTCTGGTCTTTCTTAGACAAGCACTTCTCTGCTTCATGGACTAGATCTAAGCTTCTGAGTAGTTACCAGTTTCCAATGTGGCAATAAGACAAGGTAGATTTTATGGAAGAGAATAGCCTGCCACTACATGAATGACAAAATCAATATCTCATTCATACATTTTCCTCCAACGTCTTAGTCTGTAAGAGTAATTATAATTGAAAATGTACTGGTTTAACCTTTTCTCACACAAAGCCTGAGCTGTGCCCTTTCAAAGTTCTCTCTAAAACTAAAAGCTTAGGTTTAGGAAATGTAGGGGCACAGGAGTTGCAGAGGTACATGCACCACTTCTTAGTTAGTTAGTTACTTAAGGCATTTTTTCATGTCATTTGAAGACTTAAACCCTTTTTTCCCAGATCTGCTTAGCTCTTTCTCTTCAGTGGTGGAGACTCATTTCAAAAAGGCAATAGAAGGATGCAGAAGTAATCTTTTTAATCTTAATATACTTTCAAACTTTAACTGGCTGCTCTCAGATACATACATCCTAGTACTCTGCCTTTGAAATGTACTTTAAAAACAAAACCCACCGCAGAGTAGCAACCTCCTTGAGGTGATGCGAGACACATCATTTCTTCAAGCTGGCAGCAACAAACAGAAAATCCTATCCGAGACTGCAGTCAGGAAGGCACACAAGTTGGGAAGAATTAGGAGTTTTTTTTCCAAGATTGGAAACTGGTATCTAAAGCCAGTATTGCCAGGAATATGTATGCTCTCTTCCAGTGAAAAAAAAAGAAAAAAAAAGACAAGTTTAGATATAGTCTGAATAAATAGCATCTGCCTTTCTTGAAAAAAAAATCATGTTACAACAGTGATGTTTAATCAACCAAGCAATACAGTGTTTTAGCAGTTGCTCATGGCAGCTCAGCAAAGAAAACACAGTCCTCCTGTGTTGCTGAAGTCTCAAAGGTACACCGTTTTCATCAGAAATCAAATGAAAATGAGTTGCTCTAACAACCACTAATCACAAGGTAAAGTGGAATACAGAATTAGAAATACCTCAGTTTGACCCTTAAATGCACTAACAGTGTAGAAATAAAGGAATATAGAAATATAATAATGCTGCTGAAAAGAAAAGGGGCCAGTGAGGCAAGACAAACCAGAGCAGAAGGCAAGCAATTAGAGGCAGGAGAATTAAGTTCCTGGAATATGTCTTGAATTTTGGAAACTATGTATTTTCCATGTAAGAATCTTAACAAGTGTGGGTCACTGAAGCCAAATGTCGAGAGTATCCATCAAAGCTGGGTACTCCCTTTACTTGGTCATGTTTCAGGTGAATTCTTATGGTAGGAGCTACAACATAGCCAATTAAGTTGCAGAAATATTAAAGCAATGTCCTTCCACCTTAAAAAATCTTATTAGTGGAGTCATAGAATCATAGAATGG